TAAGACTACATCACAGAGTTGGGAAGAACTGCTAGGGCGGGCAGGAGTGGCAAGGCCATTACGTCGTTACACCAGTATGTAGACCAGAATAAGCGATGAGGTTTATCGTCACAGTTATTGTAGTAACAACATTGTGACAACTTAATAGTGTTTGTTGTAAGGCTGAGTTGCTCGGTTTCTTCCCACTCTAGAAATTTAGTTTTCTTATGTGTCATAAAAATACAGTACCGGCATGCACACACACCTACACACATCAACAACACATAGATGTACATTAAGAACTGAGAATGTAGGATTAATTTCTATATTAATAAATTGACAAAAAACACGTGCAAAAAATTCATCACTAATGTTGTCTTCAATTTACTCGTGTTTTAAACACAAGTTAGCGAAAAAAAATACACCGGTGCATCGACGACGAACCATAATAGAATATTCGACGAAACCCAGAAAGTTGCATAACCTATCACCGCTGATTGTACAACGCTCCTCTGTCTTGCAGTGTACGATGTTGAGCGCTGTAGCCAGCGAATAGAGTATCTAAGATAGGCAAGCAGCTGACACTATATCCTAGCGAGGAGCAGGATGTTATCGCTACTAATGATGAGGGTGTCCGAAGCTCAGCGGAGTTGCCAAAAAGGGGGGGGGGGGGGGGGGGGTAAAACCCTTGCTTTTTCTTCCGAAATGTGTCTTTGAGAAGAACTTTCTCCTCAATTGCGTTATGATTGTAGCATATTTTTAAAGTGAATAAAAAAAAACCTAAGACACAAGTCAACAGAGCTAACAGAGATACAAGCATTAATTTTAGTATGGCCATGGTATTAGTTATGTGATTGCACAATAGTCTATGGCTTATAATGCCAAATGTTGAGAACGAATTGTTAGTGATCTGTCGGAGAGTGCTTTGGTCCATCTGGAAGCGGGTTAGCATGTAGAAGTAGCTGTATAGCAGTGTTCGTTTTCGCAGCCCGATCGTAATGGAAGACTGCACAGGTTCTTTCGTCGAGGTCTCTATAACTCACTC